TTTGCTCCGCGTGTCCCTGGTCTGCTGCCCGCAGACCAGGGAGACGTGGAGAAGCTTTTCTCGCCCCGGAGGATGTGGGCGGCGGGACCGCGGCGCTTCTGGGCGGTCCCGCCGCCCACATCCTCTGGGGCGAGAAAAGCCCTGTTTGTAAGTACGGATCCGACATAAGACGGATCCGACATAAGTCGGATCCGCGTAACCCGGGGACTGCCTGTATTTCCATTTCAAAATCGCTGACTCAAATGCCTGGAATGACTGACAAATCAAGTTCTTCAATAGATGCTTTATGTGGACAAATCGTAAACTTAAACAGAGCACTGTGTTTGCAAATGTAAACAAAATGAGACTTGGATGCCATCGGGAGTTCAGAAACAAACCCAGCAAGCTGCTACAAATCAAGGCTGCTTTTTGAATTCTCTCTTTGATACAAATCACAAAGCATTTATAATCTTTTGAAATGTGTCAGTCTGCCCATCTCAATATCTTTAATGAAGACAGTCAGTTTTGACTCAAATCCAAACACTGCCTCCTGCAGAGTCAGGACTGTATTTCCTTGCCCTTGTAGCATAAGGTTAAACTCATTTCAATGACTAGTAATGTAAAAAAGATAAGAAAACTTGAGTAACCAGTCGAAAGCTCAGTGTTTTTGACACCCTTCATATCCAAAAATAACTTAATCTCATTAATGCATAGGGCAAAATGAGTCAAAATTTTGCCACAAGATAATCAACGAACGTTGTGCTGCATGTTTTACCATGTTTAGAATATTGGGGTATTCGGAATTTATCTCCTCAACCAGTGACTGAATTTGACGGAGATTAATGGCTCGGGTGAGAATCCAATTAATGCAGACGACCAGTCCCATTATTTCTGAGTTAGGTTCCTCAAAATTGCACACAAAGTACCTCCTAATCTACAATGCAATAAAAGGTCAAAAATGGGAGAGAAGTAAGGAATCCCTTGTACTTGCTGACCATGCTAGTACACATAGGCACAAGATAATCCAGCTGTATTTCTTGTTTACAAAGTTCATCACAATTTTAAGGATGGCTTGCCCTTTTTTTGATTTTTCATTGGTAGTATCTCAATCATTTATTTGTGCATAGCTTTTCCACAAATATATCACCTCAGAATACACATCTGATTAATGCCACATGTTGGTTATCTTGTCCAAAGCAAATGAAAAATAAGTAGCTTTACTCAAATTTTGCATTTGTTCATTTTTGTTGGGTCATTTTCACAGCTGTCATGAACTGTTTTTGCCGATAATGGCATGTCTTGAATTTTATGTAAGATTTTGTCTTTGTTGTGAAACTCATCAAATAGTTCATAACCAATTTTTAGCATGCATCTCTTCACGTAATCCCATCAGTGAAAGGCTTCCCCTGTTAAATAATGATGTATGAGCCCACAAAACTGGTGGAGTTTAAACTCCCACCTTTTTTTGACCATGCCAGCAGGTTATTTTGTCCAGTGTTAATTTTTCACTGCAGCTCCTCACAAACTTTTTTTGGTGCATCACCCTTGGGGTATTTTGCAACAAATGTTGCATGTTTTATCATGAAATTTGGGGTTTGTTTTGTTTGTTTGAGAACAGTCTCTCACTACAAATGTGACAGTGTGGAGATCCAGACCTATTCACAAATGCATACAAGTCTGTCCACTCCTTTTGAAAATGTCGGTACTTGTCCTCTCTTTTTCTCTTCGTCATTTTAACTGTTAGGGGTTACAGAGTTCACCATCATGTATGACAATGGAAAGATTTCTCAACCAGTGAAATAAAAAGAGAATATGCACGACACCCAATGAGTGGAAACGATGTATTATTGTTAAAATGAACAGTTCAAGGAGAAATAGACAAAAAAAAAAAATCTTTTATATAGGCCCGCTGCAGCCTAATCGGCTGCAGCAGAGGTTGTCACTCTGTTCTGCTTGGAGGACCTCTCTTCTGCTCCTGTTGCTGGACGGGATACAGAAAGGACTCTAGTAGGGATATCGGGGCCTTGTCCATCCCATCACACCATCCTATGTAAACACTATGACTATGTCTACACTGCCAGGTTATTGCGCAAGAACATCTTGCGCAAGGGTTCTTGTGCAAGAACTCTTGCACAGGAACACATCCACACTGCCATGTGCGAGATGTGCTTTTGCGCAAGAGCATCCATGGCAGTGTGGACTCTCTCTTACACAAGAAAGCTTTGATGGCCATTTTAGCCATAGGGCTTTCTTGCGCAAGAAACCCCTGCCGCACATCCACACTGCCCTCTTGTGCAAGAGCTCTTGCGCAAGAGAGCTTATACCTGTTAGAAAAGAGCGTAGCTCTTGCGCACGAAGCCCTCACTTACCATGCCGTACTGCAAATCTTCTTGTGCAAGAGTGAGTAGGCAGTGTGGACACTCTGCGAAAGAACGGCCATTCTTGCTCAATAATCTGTGAGTATAGACATAGCCTAAGTTGTTACTGATGATAGACAAAGTGGAGAAGAATGTTAATGTGAAAATCAGTTTTGTATTTTGGTATCAGATTTTTGGTAGTATCAGATTTTGGGGCTGACTGCATTTCTCTAAAGATTTCCACTTGGTATTAATGTTTTACTTTAATCAGGACTAGGGAAGTTAAATTGCGGTTATCTCACTAATCATGTAGTCGACAATTTGTAATGACAACACTATTAGTCATTAAGGAGCACTCCACAGAGCTGCAGTGGAGATACCTCCAGGAGCTGGCTCAAGGTGGGACTGAGCTGTCCCTGCTCATGCTGGCTCCGGAAGCCACCCGTGCTGCAGCTTTACATTTTAAATGTTGGAAGAGCCACCGGGCTTTTACTACATCTAAAATGCAGAGGCGCAGTGTCCTGATCCAGTGCGAGCTGGGGCTGGTTGTTCCCAGCTCACGCTGAGTGCAGCAGCCCCTATTTGCAGCAGCCAGGCCAGCCTGGCCACTGTGAACAGGGGCTGCTGCTAGAGCAGCCTCTGCCCACAGTGAGCCTCGGCCTGCCCCAGGTAGAGGCTGCTTTGCAGCAACCTCCCCTATCCCCTGCTGCTGCCTCTGATAGAGGGGGTAGATGGTTCCATGAACCCAGCACTGGTTCCTGTTTCCTCCCCTCCCCTTTGCTGTCTCTCATAGTTGATACTCCAATTGACAACTCTCTAACCTCACTAATCAGGACTGAACTGCATCTTGTAACTTTGATAAGTAGATTCGTATTTCTCCACTGCCCTGTCTCAAACAGCATATGGGAACTTACTTTTTTTCCTGAAATAGATTGCCAGCTTGCTTTTTTTTTTTTTGTAAATGAAATTACATTTTTTATCTTTAGGCAGGATCTACAAAAGCTATCAGCTGAAGTCATTGTTGGACCTCAGTGTGGGAATGCTGTGCTACGAGGAGCACATGTTTTTGTTCCAGGAATCATATCTGCTTCAAAATGTAAGTGTTCTCTAACATATTCTTGTGGGACTTCGGGGAAAAAACCGTGCCCTTCCAGTTGACATCCAGTATCTGGTTTACTTTGTGTTTGTAAAATTTTAATGATTTTGCTTGTGCAATACAGGCAGTCCCCGAGTTACGTGGATCCGACTTATGTCGGATCCACAGTTACGAATGGGGATTTTCTCGCCCCAGAGGACTGGAGCGGCGGGACGCTTGGTCCCGCCGCCC